TTCAGATAATATTTGTCCTGATTTTATTTTTATTTAATAACATCAATTTAATTTTCTCAGTGTTAACATGTAAACCATATTTCTTCCACGGACTTTTGATTTTGTAAAGATGTCTTTATTGTTGCAACAAGCCTATACCATTCGCACATCTTATATTAGTAGTGCGGGAAGAAAAAGATGGACAGTATGAACTAGAATCAAAAAATGAAAAAGGTCTGAAATTGGTAAAATTCTGCAAAAGACAAAATCTGGCAATCACAAATATCCGGCTTATAATAGAAGATATACCGGAAAGAACTAAAAGATATTGTAAGATGTTATGGTGAGCCAGAAATTTTTTCTTTTAAAAAAAACCAGAATCTGACATGTTACAACAAGCAAGACATTATAAAATATAGTTTCTTCAATCTAACTGAATAAAGATCTCTGCAAAAATTTTCTAAGCAAGTGACTTTTTTGCACTTTTTCTTTTTCAAATATTAAGCCAATCTACAAGACTTCCACTTGAACACCATACTTCAATTGAGATGTCACCAACGACTTAAACATTATAAAAGCTTGAATAAAACCCTTGAAATTTCTGGCAACTATGCCCAACATAGTTTGCTTTGTGAACAATTTTTAAAATGTGGCTTTTGAATCTACGATTATCTCGAGATATCAAACTTCAACAACTGGCAATTGTAGAGGCACTCCGTAACAATCCAAAAGTTAATAGCGAACATGGGTTTGGGTTATCTAACCTTAACGTCTTACACTGATTTGCCATTTACATTGGGCCTAACCAATCGACCATTTTCTCGATGTCTTGAACAAAGAAGATTCTATACTCTTGGTTATTATCTGAAAATTTTTGAATCGTCGACAAAAAGCAAAATATAGTCTCATACTTAATAATAAATCATTTATATAAATTAGAAACAGCATAAAATATCCATTGAAGGCGTGAATATTAACAATGTAAAATATGTTGATGATACAGCTCTTATAGCAGATTCAATGGAGAAACTGCAAACCATTGTTTCCAAGCTGGTTTTTGAAAGTGAAAGGAAAGGCTCGCAAATCAACATCAACAAAACAAAGTGCATGGTTATTAGTGAAAGCAAAACCCGATCTGTTCCATAATCATTAATGGTAAACAGGTGAAACAAGTCAACAGCTTCATTTATCTCGGAAGTCTGATTACCTCAGGTTGTAAATGTGATGTGGATATCAAAACAAGAATAGCTATGGCGAAAGATGCATTTTCTAAAATGAAAAACATCCTCACAAACAGTAAAACCAAAATATCAACAAAATTATAACTGTTTGGGTGTTACACTTTTCCTATGTTAACTTACGGCTCTGAGTCCTGGACAATTTCTAAAAAAAATGGAAAAAAAAGATTAACTCTACTGAGATGTGGTTTTTGAAAAGAATTGTGAAAATTAGTAAGAATGTTTGCAAAAAATAAACTCAACTAAAATTGTTAGATGTTAGCAAATTTTTTCTGAGTTAATAATGAAATTGTTAATACGTAATCAAGTTAAAGAAACAAATTCATACACATAGATTCATAAAGCTCATTTAGCACGGCCACTTAAACACAAACATTCAATGTGCTACAATATTTTCAAATTAAAAACTAGATAACATTTGACTGGGGAAGGAAAAACTAAAATATGTTACGTAAAAAATAAGTACAAAATATCACATAAATCATAAAGTTGTCAGCATCTTAGCATCATAGATTGTTAGTTGTTAGTAAATTTCTTCACAGTTAATAATAAAATTGTTATAAGGTCAGCATGTTAATGAGACGCATTTACACAAGTATATTCACATACGTACACATATATCCACATTCACATACATTCTCAAACATTTATTCGTATTCACATGAGTTTAAGCCAATCTACACTTAACTGAGTAAAATTTAGATTACTAGTTAACTTAAACAGTGTTTCAGCATGTGATCGGCTCTTTGATAACGTCACTGCTCTGATGGCTACGTAACCCGCTATTTGGAACTTTGCCAAATGATCCATGTAACCATGTGATCAATGACACCATGGTGCTTGCAAATTTGAAAAACTAAACACAAGCAAATCAGCAGGACCTGATGAAATCCCTCCGCCAATTCTATGGGAATCAAGGAATTCTATCTATTCTCACATAGGCAGACTATTTCGTAGTTCAGTTGATGAGGGCATAAAGTAAGATGATTAGAATGTTAGTCATCTTTTGAGCAGAGAAAAATGGAAACGATAGAATGCAAAAACTGCTCAAGAGTAGATAGCTCAAAGAATGAATGAATGAATGACTGAATGAGTGAGTGAATGAATGAATGAGTGAATGACCGGTGATCATAAGGTATATGTCTCTAATTTCAAATTAAAATAGAATTGTCCGAAATAAAATAATCATACAAAGCACCTGTTTAGAAAGATCCCTATCCAATTCATCATATTTAGAATATTGTATATAAATAGTTTTCCCATTATGCATCGGAGGTTTCTTGCAGTAATGATTTACCATTTCTATTGCTGCGTTAAGTTCTTCCATTTCAAGAAGGGCCTATACGAAATATATTTGAATAATACAAAAAATGTTGTTTTTCAAACAAAACTTTAATGAGCTATCAAATCACTTCTTTAAGCTGTGTCTTTTAAAAAATATTCTGTTGCATATTCTATGATTTCCTTATTTTAAACACCAAAATAGTTTAATCAAATTACTAAACATATAAAATGAAATTTTTATATATGTACATCCCAATTGATGTTATTGATGATATATAATACAAAAACCTTGTCAAAATGTGACTGGAGATAGAAACTGGAAAAGATGAAAGAATTGGTGTCAGAAGAACTGTGTGAATTGATAGAAATTTCTCACCCAACGTGTAAAACGGTATATGTATAACCATCACCAAAAAGTGGAAGTAACTTTCGAGAAAATAGACCGTACTAATTTTAGCCGCAATTATAGAGTTGCGATTGATGATAATGTTTTTGCTGTGATCGGTGATGGCAGCTGCTTGATCGATGTTGCTTGATTTCATTAGATATTGGATATTTGATGAATAGGTTGATAAATATGGTTCAGATGATCTAACGGCGATGCGTGGAGGTAGGTAACAACGCTCGACAAGAAACTGCATATAAGTGATCGTACCAAAAACTGCATTTCACTAATAGTACCAACTGGGAAATGCTGATGTAAACAAACATTGGTGATATAAGAAAAGTCGTAAAACACGTTTAATAATATCATATTGTGAACATTGCTGATAAGACCGTAAACACATGTCGATTCCAGCCGAAATTTAGCCATTTTAAAAAATTCAAAATTTGGTTAAATTTCGGAATAAGATGGGATTTTAGTTTCAAAATTATCTTTCAAGATTGAATTTACAAATATATTTTTGTATGGAATTTTCGTTTCAAAATTATTACTCAAGATTGGATGTGTAAAAATATTTTTAATATATGTTTGTTTCTACGCATGTAAGTATGCGCTTAAACTTGTTTATGTGATCATGTAAGTATTGTGCGAGATGTGAGAATTAAATTAGTATCACCTAGACCATCTGGTTGGTGCGACTATCTTAATTACTTCAAACTTCACGCACCAATTAACACTGAGTATTAATGATTGAAAAAGTTTTTTCCAAAAAATGTTAACATTATGTGGTGCGTACATGTATATATTACACGTATTTTTCTAAACAAACGTGTTTCTAATGCTTTACTTTAATGTATGAGTTTTTTCATGTGTATGCATAAAATGGCATTTGCGGATGTCCATACATCAGTACTGAATTTTTAAGTTCCAGATCCCATTCCACATTGTGCTTAGTTTTTGTTGAACCGAATCTGAACTGTATTCATGACCGAACAAAACAGAATCGAACCCAAACTTTACTTGGGGTCCGAACAGAACAGAACCGAGCCCGAACTCTACTCATGGTCAAACCCGTCGAACAAAAACAAAACCGAACTCAAACTATACGGAAAGTTTCTAAATTTATTAAATTTCAAACAATTGAACAAATATAGCAAGAAAAAAGAAAATTTCATATCATATCTTGACAATGCGGTAGCCCAAGCTGCAAGCAAGAAATGATCAAAGAAAAAGAAGTGTTGCAGGACGTGCACCAAAACTGCAGAACAATGAAAACGAATAGTCTTTCAAAACCGTTTACACAACAAACAAACAACAACACACGTTTAAACGACATTTTCCCCGAGATCGGGGTTGTCGTTTGGCTACCTATGATGAAACCGAAATACCCCTCGACGCCATTCACATCTGTCACTCGCCCCAGTATCACGCAACCCCGCTTTCACTCTGTCCTTCTCCACCTGCTCTCTCCATCCCAATCGCGGACGACCCCTTCCTATCACTCCTTCAACCTCGAACTCCAACGCTCGCTTAATCCCGACTCTTTCATCCATTCTCAACACATGTCCATACCACCGCAATATTGATCTCCTTATCAAGAAAACAACTTGTTTTTCCCATGTCTTACTTAAACGAAATTTGTTTATACATTTAATGCTCCAGGTAGATGTGTGAATAAGTCTATTAAAACATTGAGCATTTACAAGCGTTGAATGATAAAATTTAATAAAAAACTTTTTTATTTTATTGATTTAGTTTTCAATATGTTTAAGTTTGAAAATTATGGCCTTTGTAATAATTTTTTCAATACTCCAACCTGGGCAATGCCGGTAGAACATCTAATAAGAAGTATATAGAAAAAGAAACGTGCCAAAAGATTAAGTTTTTTTGTATTCTTACCTGACGTGTTTTTTTAGCAAACATTAAATTTGTTATCTTTCCAAAAGGAATAGCATATTGAACAATGTTAGTTGCTTCCATATCTTCTGATAATCCCCTAATGTGCAAAACTTTTCTAGGAGTTGAAGTGTTAACTGTTTGCAAACCATATACCTTGGACTTCTGTATTACAAAAATCAGAATTCATTATAAACATTTTTTTAAATTATTTTAATGATTAGTAATGAAAAATTAAATATAAATTAACATAATTTTTTAATGTTATTAAATTTTTTGTAGGCAACAACAACAGCAACAACAACAACAGCAACAACAAACAACAACACACGTTTAGACATTTTCCCCGAGATCGGGGGTTGCCGTTTGGCTACCTATGATGAAACCGAAATACCCCTCGACGCCATTCACATCTGTCACTCGCCCCAGTATCACGCAACCCCGCTTTCACTCTGTCCTTCTTCACCTGCTCTCTCCATCCCAATCGCGGACGACCCCTTCCTATTACTCCTTCAACCTCGAACTCTAACGCTCGCCTAATCCCGACCCTTTCATCCATTCTCAAAACATATCCATACCACCGCAATCTCGATCTCCTTATCAATGTCACAATGTCCTCATTCAGTCCCATCATCGACATCAGCTCTGTACTACTCCTCCTATCCTTCACTTTAACCCCACACATCATCCTCACCATAGCTCTTTTAGCCCTCTGCAGTACTCTTTTCCAATCAACACCCAAGTTTTACAACCATATACCATCGCAGCTCTCACACATGCTTTATATACCCTCCCTTTCCTCTTCCCTGACCATTTTTTTCTCACAATACCCTACCAAAATCCCTAAATTTCATCCATTTCACACGAACTCTAGCCGTAACAGCGCTCAAACATCTTCCATCCGCGTTCAGCTTAACCCCTAAATAAAAAGCTTTCCACTCTTTCAATACCACCACTCAACCCCGTCCTTGCGTCCGTCCTATTAAACACCATGAACACATTTCTTACATTTGAACGTGCCTTCCACCTTTTTCAGTGCCCCCCTCACACCACTACATCTCTTATGCACCCACTTCTGACATCCTATGCACAACACCAAGTTAGCCTTCACTCTCCAGTCACATACCCCACAGGGGTCTATTTTACTTATCACACGTTCCCCACCTTCGTCTTACTAATATTAATAATATTAGTAATATTAGTCTTAATAATAATATTTTAACCCTTTCTTTTCGATAACACTTTTCCATCTGTCAAATTTCAACTGCAATTATTCCATGCTATCAGCCATCAGGACTAAATCATCTGCATACAAAATCTCAAATAACAACCCCTCCATTATGTTTCCACACACAACATCCATCAAAATTGCAAACAAAAACGGTGATAACACTGATCCTTGATGCACTCCTACCTTAACACTAAAAGCGTCCGACATCCCCCTTCCGACCCTCACCTTTGTCTTCGCCCCTTCATACAGCTGCATCACAGCTTTAACAAGTCTCTATTCACTCCTTACTTCCTCAACGCCCATTCAATGACCTTCCTCGGTACTCGATCAAAAGCCTTTTCTAGATCCACAAAACACATGTCCAATCTTCGTTTCTTTTTTCTATAACTCTCCTGCAACATTCTACGTACTTAGACTTAGTATGGTACTTGGTATGGCTCTATGGTACTTAGACTTGGAACGCTCAATGTTGGATCACTGACTGGCCGCAGCATGGAAATCGCAGAAATGCTCGAGCGTAGAAGGACTGACATCTGCTGCCTTCAGGAAACCCGATGGAAATCAAATGGTGTCTATCATGTCAACTCAGACAAAGAAAAATATAAACTATTCTGGAATGGTCAAAAGACGGCCAAAGATGGTGTTGGAATTTTTGTCAGAGAACTGCTAGCCCAAGAAGTACTGGATATTAAAAAGATTAATTCACGTCTCATGTGGATCAAGCTTCGCCTAGAAAAGCAAACAATGATTATTTTTTCTGCATAGGCACCACAGACAGGCGAATCAGAAGAGATGAAAAATGACTTCTGGGCTGCATTCTCTGACTCCATATCAACATTACCAAAATCTGAAACAATCCTGATTGGAGGCGATCTCAATGGCCACGTTGAAGAGAAAACAGATGGTTTTGACAACGTACATGGCGGTTTTGGCTATGGAAAACGGAATGAACATGGCAACCGCATCCTTGAGTTTGCTGAAAGTCACGGGTTTTGTTTACTGAACACATACTTTAGAAAGAGGTTGGAACATCTCATAACATACAAAAGTGGACCATCAGCCACGCAAATTGATTTCTTCGCTGTCAAGCAACCACACCGATGGCTGTTCAAAAACGTCAAAGTTATACCTGGCGAATCATGCGTCGTCCAACATAGACTCCTTGTGGCAGACCTGGTTGTCGAACTGTCAAAACATAAGTCTAAACAAATGCCTCGGAGAATCAAAACGTGGAAGCTGAAAAGCAATATTCATCGAGAAAAATTTCAACAGATTGTCACCCTACAGTTAGACCACCAATCGCAAGCCAGTACAGATTGGAGTACATACAAAACCGTTTTAATGAACGCTGCAACTACAGTTTGTGGGAAAACTGGTACAAAACGTCAGCATGAACTTGGTGGTGGAATGACAGTGTACAAAATGCAATAGCTGAAAAGAAAGTTGCATACAAGCAATGGCAAAAATCAAAGTCTGTTGATGACCATAAAATTTTTCGTGAGAAGAACAACTATGAAAGACGTCAAGTTGCACTGGCTCGGACAGATCAGTGCAGAGAGTGGCTCACTAAAAGCAAAAGTAAATAAATGAAATCTCTATATCGTATAGCAAAACAAGCAAAGCGTACGAAAAAAGACATAGTTGGTGCCTCATGTATCAAAAATGACAAAAATGAGATGGTTCTTGAACAAGATGAGATCAAGCTACAGTGGAGGAAATACTTCAACCGTCTGTTAAACGAAACAAATCCCATCAGTGTTAACTTTGATGCTCCACCCATCGAACCTCTGAAAGCTATGAAGGATGGAAAGGCAGCAGGACCCTCTGGACTCACAAATGACATTATCAAAGCATCTGGTACTGCAGGTATCAAAACGTTACTTTGCCGTGAAATCTGGAAAAATTGCTCAATGCCGACTGAATGGAGCTATAGCATGACAGTCCCGCTATATAAAGGCAAAGGTGATCCATTGAACTGTTCATCATATCGGGGTATACGTCTGTTAGAACACTCCCTGAAAATTGTCGAAAAAATCATTGAGAGAAGATTAACGTCGTGCATCACAATCGGAACTTATCAATTTGGTTTTTTAGCGGGGAAATCAACAATTGATGCAATTCACATCCTTCGGCAACTGCAAAAGAAGTACCTCGCAAAGCATCAACAACTATCACATATTTTTGTAGACCTTGAAAAAGCATTTGATCGAGTTCCCCGTGAAGCAATCAGGTGGAGTCTACGTCGACAACTCATTCCAGAATATCTTGTTCGACTTGTATTCGGAAATGTATACTAAGACTCTTGTCAGCACAACGGTTGGAAACACAGTTGCATTTGACATCGGCGTTGGAGTTCACCAAGGCTCGATTCTCAGTCCACTTTTATTTATAACTGTGATGGAAGAAATCACAAAACCGATACGCACTGATGACATTTGGAATCTAATATATGCTGTTGATATCGTTTTAACAGCCACGTCTAAGCAGAATGCAGCACAGATGTTTGAAGATTGAAACATTAGACTCGCCGATCATGGATTCAAAGTCAACATCAGCAAAACCAAAGCAATGAACACTGGTGAACACATCCAATCCACAGCTACTGGACGATGGCCCTGTTCAGTTTGTAAAGCTGGTGTAGGTAACAATTCAATCAAGTGTCAGCGGTGTAACCAGTGGTGTCACAAACGTTGTTCAAAAATAATTGGTACTTTATCTAAAGTGTCCAATATTGTTTGTCCTGCTTCCATCAATCCATAACAACAAATTCGAAATAGCAATGTTTTTGAAGCCATTAAGGTAGAGAAAGTCACATCGTTTCAATATCTAGGGGATGTTCTGGATTGTACTAGAACAGCTGAAGCTGCCGTTCGAGCACGCATACGTGCAGCCTGGAATAAATGACATCTCCTTGCTTCTATATTGATGCGGCGTGACATCCCACTACCACTACGATCAAGACTTTATAAATCTGTGATACGTCAGGTGTTGTTATATTGTGCAGAAACATGGCCAATGACAACCAAACTTGAACAACTTCAACGAACCGAAATGAAAATGCTCCGATGGATGCAACTAATTAGTCTGAAGGACCATATCAAATCTACCGAAATCCTGCGTCGTGCTGGTTTAGATGATATAAAGGACGAATGCCGGCAACATCGTCTGCGGTGGTTTGGTCATGTCAAACGAAGTAGAAACAGTGCCATAACTTCTCTTGCAGATGTTGAAGTACCTGGCACACGTCCCAAAGGCCGTCCAAAAAAGTCCTGGTCGCAAGCAATCGAGCAACACATGAAAGCTCTAAATTTAAATAAAATGGATACAACTGATCGTCTAATTTGGCGCAAAAAGTTGATGGCAAAGAGAACAACGTCCTACCTCGGGAAACCGAGTCTCTGGACGAAAAACGAAGATTGATTAATTGATTCCTGCAACATGCTCACTATGAGCCACGCATCCACCGTTCTCCTACCAGGCAGAAACCCACACTGCATTTCATTAAATGTCACCATATTTCTCAACCTCCTCTCAAGCACCCTCTCCACTACCTCCACACCCCTATATGACCCACAATCTCTCACATCTCCTTTGCCCTTATACAACGGCACCAACACACTGCATCGCCAATACTCAGGTATACCTTCATCATCAAACATACTGTTAGCAATTCTCATCATAACTTCAATTCCTATCACCCCACTCGCCTTTATATGTTCCGCCGCCACTTCCGAAACCCCTGTCGCCTTACCTAGTTTCATTTCTCTAACTGCTTTCCCTACTTCCTCCATCGTCCCTTTCTCTATGGGTCCGTGTGTGACCGCGGATTCCACATCTCCATCCCACTCATTCTCTTCATTCATCAACCTTTCCATATAGGCTTTCCACACCTGAGCTTAGCAACAACAACAACAATAATAATAGTATAGATCTTTTATCATCAGAAAAGCAAGTAAAAATTTAAAAGCCAAATCAAATTCAATGAAATAAATAAAAGTGGGTACATAAATAAAAGTGGGTATATAAACAAAATTTTGAAAATTTCCGACCTGCCCCCGCAAGTACGGTTAGCCAGTACGGGTTCTAGGTCAAAATGTCCCCGGTCAAAATGTCCCGGTCAAAATGTCCCGGTCAAAATATCCCGGCCAAAATGTCACCGGTCAAAATGTCCCCCGGTAGAAATGGCCCAAAAGTCATGTTGAAAAATACAGCTATAATAATAATATAATAATATAAGTTACTAGCTGTTTGCATACGGCTCTGCCCTTACCTTTGATAAACCTTGATTGATGTAATTCCTGTTACCTAATAAATCAAACCATTTTTTGATATTACATATTAATTAGAATCAATCGGATGTATAGACGATGATAATTTGCATTAAACTAATACCCTTTCTTTTTTCCATATCTTACCAACGACGATGATGGCAACGACGATGATAAATTTGCATCGAATCACGCATCGAACGAAAACCCTCTCTTTTCTCAATATCTTACCAATTGAACTGCGTCTTGATAGCATTTCAAATAAGTATACCAAATTTCAAATCAATCGGATATATAGTTTCTGAGATCTAGTGATTATTAGTCAGTCAGTATCTTTGGTGTCTTTGTTTCTTTGGTGTCTTTGTAGCCGGATGTAATAACCAATAAACACAATTAGAAAGAGCGAATTTTAGAGTCTTGTATTTAGTGTGTAAGTTCTTAAAATCTTTTATTACTCATTGAAAACCGTAAGCAATGCTTGAATTCATAGTCTCGCAGAAGGGAACGCGAAAATTGGTGATAGAAGGTTTCCTCTTTACGAAGCACCGGAATGGCGCAGAAGGTAAAGAAATTTGGAGGTGCGAAGAGCGTTAGTGTCATGTGAGAATCCACACCAAGGACAATGCGAAAGTAGAGGAAATAGGCAGTCATAATCACACACTTGTACATAGAAGAGCAGAAGTCGGAGGGGCATTGGCAAAAATGAGAAGAACAGCTGAAGAATCTGAAGATCCTACGAGACGTATTGTACAAAGAGCTCTTTTGGAAGTTACATCTGAGGCTGTTCACCTACTTCCAGATCGTGAATGTATGGCGCGAAACGTCAGAAGACGTCGTGCA